GCCTCTTCTTCGGTCTTGTATTTGATAAAGAATACCTCTGGTTTGGCGGGCACTGTGGGTGCGGGTGTGGCTATATCGTTGACCTCGAGTGTGGAGTCCTTTTTGGACAACACATAAATGACAGTCTTTTCTTCTTGTGGCGCATATTCCGCAGACAATTTGACATTTGCTGAGCTTGAGGATGGCGCCTTAATAAAGACAACACGATAATTCTTTTGTGGGCGTCCAATAACGAAATGCTTGCTTTGCTCAAGCGATTCATGATCCTCTGGCGCTGAAACAGTTATGAATTGTTTGTGTACAAGGGGAGCTTCAAACCCGCCCGATTGTTGTCGTCCACCAAAGCCAGCATTGAAGGAGCTGCCACCAATACCGCTGAAACCTCCGCTTATGCCGCTGCCAAAACCACCACCACCGCTGATGCCATTGCTACCGCTTTGGTAGTGGCCAAAGCTTGGTGCACTGTTGCTGGCGCTACCAAAGCTTGGTGCACTGTTGCTGGCGCTACCAAAGCCTCCGTAACTGCTGCTGCTGCCACCTCCAATGGGTGCACCACTTACGCTCCCAAGTCCGCTCAGTCCACCAGCGAAGTTTCCACTACTTTGGTAACGGCCGACGTTAGCACTGCCGCCTGAGATGCCAGTACCATAATTGTATCCTTGTGGTTTGGCATGGGCGATGGCGGCCAACGAGCAGCAAAGTACCTAAATATGTGTGGGGGGGAAAGAAGAGTGAGGTTTGTTTACTGTTAATTCGTGTTTAATCCTTTTGATGTGACAGAGTGATAAATTACCAAAAAAAGACGCATTCTCTGACGAATTGTTTGTTTGATTAACCTCAACGTTAAATTCCCACTGTTAGCTGTCCGCAGTGAAACTGATGTCTTCGGTCCAGCTGATTGTGGTTTTTATAGTTAAAAGATCATGCAGATAGCCTACTGGTTCATCATTGCCAATTAACTACCGGCTTTTGGGCTTCCAGTTATTTGAAAACTAGAAAAGGTAAAACTAAAAACGTATTTATACGCCCAAAAATTTAATAACTATTTTTTATAAACATATTTAACTGAAATTTTTTTACTGACGCTGAGTTTTTGCTGGCCTTTCAATCTCCTTGCTGATTAATTGGCGCTTAATTACGAGAGTTACTAAGCCATTGGCACGCACGCTCATTCATCGCTCAGGTAATCTTTTCCTAGTCAAATGCTAAACATTATTAATACATAGATTGTTATAATAGTTTTCTTAATCTTACTTCCATAGAGCTCCCCGCACTTCTGGTTGCTTATGACGCTCGTTTCTGTTGACTGACATGTTCAAACAACTTTAAACTTTTGTTTTTTTCGCTGTTTATTTGCTTCTGCAGGCTGTAGAGTACTGTTTTAATTACCTATGCAGGCGGTTTGACACCTTAATTGTTAAAAGCTAATTAATACTTCGCCAAACGCATTGACCGATTCATGTATTTGCATGGCATAAGCATAATGCAATGACGGTGGCAGGGCGGAAGGTTAAAGGTTTTCGACAGCTATTTGTTTTAATCATTTTTTGCATCAGCGAATACGCACATTAATCAAAGTATCTTCATCGTATTTCATTGCATTTTCGTTCAACTTCCTTTAATTGCTTTGTTCGATATGCAAACATGACATAGCGCGGTTTCGCGAATTCAGCAACTCAATATGCATTTGAAAAACTACATAGAATTTCGCGAAAATCATTTATTTTGTTGAGTTTCGGTACTGTAGCCGGTCTATTAGTCATTTCTTATTTTGTTGAGATAACTAGTTTCATTTTAACATTATTTTTGCCAAACGATCATCGGTTATTGATTTTACACCACTGCATCTGAAAATGCAAACAAATCAAAAAAAAAAATAGTTTTTTTGAGGAAATACATGTGTACCGATAATTAGTAGAGAGATTAATAGCACCAACTCTACAGCTTTGCATATCTATTATTTTATTTTGCCACTCTTCAGGAAACAAGCTTATCTATCTCTAAATAAAAACACCATTGACTTCTCGTTTTAGTGTTAATTTGATATAAACTTCCATCGATGACTGAAGTGGCAAACAACTGACCATAATACAAACCAAAATCTGTTCCGAGCACTATTTTAGACTAGGGAGGAGAAACTAATCGATTTTTTTTCTGAACATTGAACTTTTGGAACTTAGAAAAATCCAGTAACTTTAAGAACAGTCAAGGTTTTGATCCTTATAATAAAAATCATAATTTAAGGTATTCGAATTGTTCTTTACCTTATCAGTTAGTGAAGTTCAGCCAAATAGTCGAGTTTATTTCTGTGAATTTTGATTGATATCTCATTCAATGGCATTCGACTGGGGTGTTCGATTATTCGCCTTATTACGAAAGCCGTTTTATTCCGTTATCCTAACATATCGTCGCTGCGCCTGGTGTCAATGTGCAACATTTTGCAAATGTGGGATTAAAAAAAATTATATTCAAAATATGTTAGCGATTTGTGAAAAAAACAACCTTTTTTTTTTACCCATTACGACTTGATCAACATTTGCGCCGTTTTAAAGCACATAGCTGTTTTTACACCTGACAACCGTGCCAAAAACGCCGCGGATGGAAAACTGACACCTTAGACGTCGACGTTTTCAATGAAACGATGAGACCAACAGAGTATACAGGATCGGCAAACGCAATAGCCTCCCAGCCAATGGCTAACTTTCGAGTAGCTTGCGATGCAGCAATGGTACGGAAGTCAATACCGAAGTAACAATGTACTGTATTTTGGAACGACCGCATACAAACGCGGAGAACAGAGTGTATCAAGATGAGAAGGCATTTCCAACGTGCAAGGGGAAGGGCCCAGTTCGCGGAGCACAGAGAGAGGTACAAAGCAGCTAGACACGCATTTAAGTTAGCAAGTTGCGACGACGCTGAAAAATATCCTTGAGGATCAGCATACAAAATTGCGATGATGTCTAATGTTCCTAAAAACGATCAGAGGAGACTGGTTTCCTTTACTTCAAGGGAGCTCTTAAACTCATTTGATGAGGTCACCAACGACGAAGTTCTCCAAGCTGCAAAAAGACTCGAGGATAATAAGTCTCCCGGCCCGGATGGGGTCCCTAATTTAGTTTTGAAATTGGCGATCACCAATTTTGTATCGTCGTTCAGGAACTTATTTAATGCATGCCTAGCCGAGAGAACATTCCCATCAGTCTGGAAGAAGCAAATGCTGGTACTGCTGCCTAAACCCGGTAAACCTATAGTGGAACCTTCGAGTTACAGGCCCATGTGTCTGCTCGCCTCGGCGGGAAAATTTCTTAAGCGTGTTATATGCAATCGTCTCAAAAACGAAATCCAAGCTAAAGAAGGTATATCGGATAACCAGTTTGGCTTCTGAAAAGGAAGATCCACCATTCACGCAGTAAACTTTGTTATCCAGCTGACACGCGACGCAATAAGTGGCTCGCGTTGGCTCGGAGGTACCAAAGAATATTGCTTAGTAGTAACCCTCGACATTAAAAATGCGTTTAATTCGGCGAACTGAGCAAAAGTCCTAGACGCACTGGATCATATCGGGGTACCTTTGTACCTTATGCTTATACGAAGCTACTTCGAAGACCGCTGGCTGCAGTACGAAACCTCGGCAGATATGAAATATCAAAAAATCTCAAGTGGAGTCCCCCAAGGCTCTGTGCTTGGTCCTTTACTTTGGAACGTTATGTAGGACGGAGTTCTTCGCCTCAAAGTACCCAAGATGACAGAGGTAATTGGTTTTGCGGATGACATCGCGGTAGTGGTTCCGGCGAAACACTTAAGCGAAATTTGCGAGAAAGGCAATAAAGCCATAGAATCTGTACAATCGTGGCTTCAAAAAATGGCCTTAAGCTTGCGGCGCAGAAAACGGAGTCACCATACAAATTGGCGAACACAGCGTCACTACTCTGCCCCATGTGAAGTACCTTGATATTATGTTAGATAAGATTATGTTAGAATAGAGGGTTAAGGAACTATACGGGACCTAATATTTTCGTGTTGTACTCGAGCATAGCTACAACCTTCACTAGATTTTGTTTCGGTTGTATTTCATGACTTTTTTTTTTTAGATCCGACCGAACTCGAGTTTTTAGCCGAAACCGAACCGAACACTCGGTTTGTTCTTGAAGTTCGGCCGAAACCGAACCGAGCCCGAACTTTTTAGAGTAAAAATTACATTAGCATTATATACCGCAAATTAATTAATTAAAAGCATTGTTTCTCAAAAACTCGAACTTTTTTTTCACACGGCAAGACTCGATTAGTTTGACTGCACTTGCAGCAGAAATAAAAATTACTAGTGCAGCACGAGCAAGTTGCAATTGCAGTCACATTTTTAAAATTTTTATTTCTGAAACTGATTTCCAAAATGTGACAGAAAGTTCTCTCTGGCTATTAACATGTGCAACTAAAATATCTTTCTCAATTTGACATTGAAATACAAGGCAAATTTGCAAACTTAACATACAAGAAGTGTTATCGGGCATTGCAATTTCGGGAAGGAAATAAAATTAAAAGAACGACAAGAAACAAGAAAGTTGCTATAAAAAAGCCATAAAATCAAATTACAGGAACGCTATAAAGGCACTTAAATAAATAAGAAAAACTTTAATGTTTATAATTTGTAAAAATAAACTTTTCGGCCAATTTTGGACGAAACCAAACCGAACCCGAACACGAACTTCATGGCCGAATTGGTCGGTAAACGAACCTGAACCCGAACGCTCGGTCGGACAATAATTTTTTTTTGTAGCACCTTGTAATCCTAATTGCTTGAAATTCTTGATTGTATATAAATATTTTGTATGCATGTATTTTCACGAATTTATTACTCGCTAGATCTGCGTACCTGCTAAATGTCAACAAAGCATCATTAAATGCATATACAGATTATTTGTAAATAGTATTTTCGTACTTACTGCCGCATGTAAACATATTTTTTTTGTATAAAAATTCACTCAATAAATTTTTGAATTTGATTTTTTACCTTCTTCAATTGCTTAATTCATAGCTCCTTCATAGTTATTACAACCCAAAGAAATAACTCAGCTCCGCTCCAGGTACAGTACGGCCGGTGTGTAATGTTGAAAAACGAAAAAGTATGTAACATATTTCGCTCTGAAATTGTATTTAAAAAGTGTTTATTCCTCTTTGTATACACTATTACTATAAATTAGTACCTTCTATGTATGGAAATTAATCGTCATGTAAGTTTCAAAACGACTTAGAAATATTTTCTCCGTCTGATAAACACCAACAACTCTTCGCTACTAAAAAATATTTCGCTTCCTATAATCTCTAAGACTCAACTAAACGCTACTTAATTCGTATTGTGTGTATGCAGAGAGCAGTGAACGAGTTCAAAACACACTCCTGAACTGGAGCAACACGAAATGAGACTATTGTCGCGACAAAAAAAAATTGTATTGCCATAAAATACTATTTGAGTGAAACTCTTTGTGCATATAGTATGTATGTATGTGAATTAATGCAAACGCTAAGGTGGTCGCTTATTATGCGTTCTTAAATCCGGCTTTTATATTTTAAAATTTGTTAGTGGAAACTAAAAATACTGTTGAGCCGCAATTATCCAAACTCAAATAGCAAGTAAAGGATAAACAGAAAAGACAGATACATACCTCAAAAAAAAAAAAACAATTGTGTAATGTATAAAAAATTTAACGTGTTCCTTTCGGCATGAAACAATTTTTAAACGTTTTTTTCAAAAAGTTAAATATTTTTAAAATTCAATATATTCTCTTAAATTTTTTTTTTTATAAATATCATTTTTTTCAAGGTTTAATTAACAATATCTTGCAAAATAACTGGATTTTTGCAAAGCTCTTTGCTATACTTAAATACAACAAAATGGCCAAGTATTGAGAAAATCTGAAACTCATTAGTTCTCCGGAAAATGGAACGCCCCATATAGAAAATTCCATGTCAACCGAATTATGACTGGGATCCAAGATTTGTTTCATATGTACACATATACAGTTGCGAGTAAAATAATAGCAGTAAAATTTAAAATTATGATGCTGGTAACTTATGTTTATTTATTTATTGTTAATCATTTTTCTTTAAAATATGGGTCGATCTGTATCAGAAACCGCATAAATTACAGTTTCAAAGCTTGCACAAAGTACACAAAAATTAATTGAACTTAAGAAATGTTCCACAAAATTTCGATTTTTTAAATCAAATTTCTTAGAAATCAATGATGGTTTAATAAAATGCAAGTTTGAAGTCGCTAAACATTTTTTATATTTTTTTAGAGGGTGTGCGCATGTTCTTCCATATAAAAGTAAATTTTTTTCATCGTTATATATATATACGTAAATATATTCAAACAGCTAAAATCAGTTTATACAACAAGGTAAGGGAAAAATTTTAATGTCGATGTAAACCGAGGTAGGTTTCAGGAAGCTTTCTTTCAAAAAAATATTTGCCACTAACGAGTCAAATGAAAAATTTTGTTATGTGTGTCCAACGATGGAGTTGTAAGAAAGCGAAAATATTTTGTAAGAAGGTTGCCACCTTTGTGTTTAAAAAGTTAAAATTTAAATAACAAGATGGATAAAATTTATAAACATGGGAACAAGAGAGGGTTTAAAAAATGCTAGCAGCGCGGCGCGCGGACGCTGACCGACGCGAAGCTACGCAAATTTAATGTTTGAAAGAGAAATAATGTCAGTGGATTTTATTTCGCTTTTAAAAAAGCAATAATGTCAATTGACTTTATTTCGCACCAGTATGCGAAATAGTGGCAATTGACCTTATTTTCGTTGATATTGTTACCTGCCACCGTCCAAAACATGTA